TTTTTTTTTTTTTTTTTTTTTTTTTTCTGTCTGATAATGTAAATTTAAAATAATTCATATTGTATCTTAAAAGAACCAGATAAGAAAATAATTAATTTAGTTGATTTCTATCCAAAACCAGCAAAAATTAACGAGCACAGAAGTGGGAAGAAAAATTGAGAAGCGGAAAGGAGAAAGATTAATTAATTAAAGACAAAAACGTTGGTGACATTCATATAAAGAAAATTTCAAAGAATGTTTCCTCTTAACTAATTACCACTTGACCAAATCCACAAGCACTTCTATATCCTTGGCAGTATATAAAAACCCCTAGCACATGCACAAATCTGTCAACCATCATACCAAGGAACTAATAATCTCTCTGACAGCATTCTACACACAAAGGCCAACTCTCTCCACTATATCTGAAACATGCAGCGTCAAAGCCACATTTCGATTGCAATTTTACTTATGTCCGTCCTATTTTGCTCCACATTGACTAGAGCTCTTCAAGAACCTGGTATATTGCAATAATCCCTCTCGATCAATTTTTCGTGTCAGTTTTGGTTTACATGTAAATGCACCATCATATTCAACAATTTCATTTAAGCTTTGAAGCTTATTTATTGAAACTTTAACTTAATCTTACGCTAAAATTAGTAAATTTACTTTTAGATGATATTAAATTTACTGCTTGAGTTTTATAAAATGGTTTGATGGCCCGTTTATATGTAGAGGGAAATCGACCAAAAGTAATTCGTCATTTTTGGCTTAATTGTTACTACACCTTGTTGGACTCATTAATGTATTCTTCTTATTACATTTATTTCTTATTCATCATAAAATAATTTGTTAACCAACAGATTCAAACTCAGTTAATGCGTAAAAGAATAGAGTACAACTTCGTTTTACATATTACTCGGTGTCCTATCCTATGATTATATATACATATGCATGACATATATATATTCCTACATATAAAGATCATTAATTATTGTTGCTATATATGCAGAGTATGGTTATGATAAAAAGAGTGCAAAAGGGCCCCAACACTGGGGTGATCTTAAAGAAGAATGGGCAGCCTGCAAAATAGGGCAAAGTCAATCTCCTATTGATTTGTCAACAAGCAGAGTGGAAGTGATCCCCAAGTTAGGAGGGTTAAAGTACTGGTCCTATAAGCCTCAACCTGCTACTATCACCAACAGGGGTCAAGATGTTTCGGTAAGTGCAAACGTTATCTGAATCGCTCACTCATCTAGTTCATCCACAAATGATTAAATTGGTTTGATATATATATGTGTATAACTGTATATATAAATAAAATATAATGATTGCAGGTAAACTGGGTAGGGGATGCTGGCTCAATAGACATAGATGGAACATCTTTCTTCCTCCAACAAGCCCATTGGCACTGGCCTGCCGAACATACCATCAATGGCCGAAGGTTAATTTCTATGCCTTCATCACAACCATTTCTAGTTATTTAATTTTCTTTCTCAAATATAAAATTTTAACTTTTAGAAACAATTTATTAAGGAGAAGCTCACCTAATTTATCCAAAAGTCATTTTACAAAATTCATTATCATAAGAATCAATCTTAACATATGTTGATCCAGATAGCTTTGAATCTTATTATCGTTATTATAATTCTTATATAATATAAAAAGAATTTGTGAATGTCAACAAAGTGGTCTTTCATAAAATATAGATGTAACCTGCAACATATGTAATAAACTAAATATCTTCAAATAATCTTGGAGCAACAAACTAAAGTTGTTTTGTAGTTGATTCATTTTGTGATCGATCGTAAGTTCTGATATTGGTTTTCGATATCATTAGGTATGACTTGGAGTTGCACATGGTTCATGTTAGCCCACAGCCTGATGGAACAAACAAAACCGCTGTTGTTGGTATTTTGTACAAGTACGGTTCGCCCGATCCATTTCTCTCCGAGGTACGTGCATGCAATAATTAATACTTAGGAATAAAATTAAAGAAGAAAAATAGCTAAATAATCTTGCATATGTATATTTATTTCAGTTGGGAAAATACATAAAGGACATTCCTAATGAGGATGATGAGAAAAGCGTAGGAGTGATTGATCCCTCAGAAATGATGAGGGGTAGCAAGATGTACTACAGGTATTTGGGATCACTCACTGCACCTCCTTGCACTGAAGGCATCATTTGGACCGTTGATAAGAAGGTATAGTTTATATACTTTTCCTATACATAATTCTAATTCATTTTTAAGTTTACACACGCACACAAGACTCCTTTAATATCTTTAATTTTATTTGCATCGCCATTAACTTTGATTATCTTTTAATTAATATGTACTTTTACCTGATTTCATTAGATAAGAACCGTTTCAAGGGGACAAGTGAAGTTATTCATGGATACAGTACTTGAACATGTAAGTAAACTACATTCGATCTTGTGTGTATATTTACTATATGAAGTTAGAATCTAGAATTTTATGAAAAATATTTAACCCTTTTATTACTGGTCAGATCCTATTGATTTATACTTAATTAAATCTTCAGAAACTTAAATTAATTCATCATGTCACATATAAAACTTATTTTATTTTCCATAAGCAAATTTTTAGTTCAATACAAAAAATCAAATCGACAGGGTTTCTAAGACCAATAATAGATGATAATTAGTTTAATTAAATTTGATCCACTTTTAATCAATATTTTTTAATGGAAGCATAAATGTTCAGAATGTCAGTATCAACATATAATAATTCTTATATTCCTTTCTTTAGATTCAACTCCTCAAAGCAAGGGAACCATTTGTAGAATAAAGTGGAAAATTATAGTTATTTAATAAAAATAATAATTTATAAATAATTTATTTTAGGTATACACCTGATTTTAATAACAATTTTAATCTTTTTTTTCACTTAATTAATAAATAATATATAACTCTTAATTTTATTTTCTAAATTTTTTGTTTTCACTTTACAAGAATCAAATACGGTACAATTTAAGAAATGGATGCCTTTTATAGTTCTATTTCTTGAAGATTTTGTTGAACTTCATCTTCAATATATTAATCTTTATTATGTACTCTGCTGCCACAGTATGCCAGAAAGAATGCAAGGCCGTTGCAGCCCATAAATCATCGGGAGATACAACTTTACGTCCCAAAGCCAAAGAATAAACCTCTGTATTAATTTGAGCATCATTGTATTTTTTATTTAATTGATTTGTTTCTGTATTTGTTTGAAATTCGTTCGTATTATGTGTAATAAGTGTTTCTGCTCCGAATGGAAACACATATAAAAGACGAATAAATATTAATAATATTTTTTTCACGACTTGTTATTTATTATCTCAAGATCATATATGGTTATGAAGACTTGTTATTTATTATCTCAAGATCATATATTAATAATATTTTTTTCACGACTTGTTATGAAGACTTGTAGTTATAATTTCACTTTTGGTTTTCCAACTTTAAATTGTGTTTGATTTTAGTTTTCAATTTTTTTGAGTTAATATTAAATCTTCCCTTTTTATAAAATAAGTAAATTTAGTCCCTCATTTTTTTATTTCTTTATTCAAAATTCTCAAAATGATATATTTATCAGAATATTTGAGGACTTGTGATGAAATTCAAATATGAAATAATGTTAAAAATAAGAAACTTAGTAATAAAGTTTGAGATAATTTATAAGATGTGAGAATAGGATTTTGAAGAGGATTTTTAAAATAAAAAAAAATTGAATGAAATTTTGATATTTTACTTTTTATATTTGAAGACAATTTAATTAATTTAATTTGTAAGATGAATAAAATGTTTAAAAAATTATATTTTTTTGAATCAACCAAACATGATTTTTTATTTGACAATATATTATGATATATTCATTAGATAATATATTACAATTTGTCATATCTTTACACATTAATTATATATTACAATTTGTCATAAATATTTTTATATTATATCCTTAAATAAATACATATTTTAATATATACCTATAAATTATTAACATCTTAGGCCATCTCCGTGGGGCATCCTAAAGAGGATGTTATTCAAATAAGAACGTGCTTATTTGGAACATGTTGGACATGCAGCTTGTTAAGCACCAATGTTTAACATTATTAGTGATTTAGTGGCTCCAACAAACAACTTTTAATAATAAATAATATTTATATAATAAAAGAATGACGTACAATGATGGGACTCATTTAAAAACGTAAAAATAAATACTACAATATTGAGTTGAAGAGAAGAATTTTTTAATTTTTTTAAAAAATAAGAAAAAGTAATATATAAAGTTGATGAGGTGTATCTAAGATAATTAATAAGATAGAGATGTTGTGTTAAAGATGACACAATATAACATAATCACAATATAAGCAAGCATTGAGTGGATAAATTACTAGATAATTGGTATTTCAGTATGTTGAATATACATGCATATTTATTATATATAAATAAATTTATAATAAATTATATATAAAAATAAATATTATGTTTAAATATATAAATTATATTTAAAAAATTTATAAATAAATATTTTGAACATATAAGTTATATTTAAATTTATGATGAATAATTTATATTGTAATACAAAATTATTTTTATTTACTGATAATTTATTTTAAAATATTAATATTTAATTTATAAATAATTTTGATAAATAAAAATTGAATTAGATAAGAAATTAAAATTAAAAAAATAAGAATAAGTAATATATAATGATGAATAGGTGTATTTAAGATAGTAAGATAGAAATATGTTAAAAATGACTTACAATATAACGTAATCACAACATATGCAAGCATGAGTGGATAAATTATTATAATACAAAATTATCATGTTTATTTCATGATCTAAGTATCTTAACATCTTTATATAGCATGTATTTATATTTTTAAATTTATAAAAAAAAAATTGATAACACTTAATTTTATATAAGATTCATTATGAACCATTAGGTTAACTAGGATCAGTTAATAATTTTTTTTATATGAGAGACACTAGTGTAACTCATAAAAAATATATGAGATGGTCAAAATTCATCAAGTCTCCACCAACCCAACAAGTTGAAGACGAAATAAAACAAGTTGAGTTATCAATTTGTCTCATCTAATTTGTTTAGTCCACTTGTAGTTAAGATATGTGCAAATAATTTTATATTTTTATATTAAAAATAATATATATGTGTATAATATTACAATAAATAAATTATTTTTAATATTTCTTTCGTATTTAATTTGTAGCAAACTTGGACAAGTGAATTCATTAACTTGTCATTTTATCTTTGTTGGTTGAATCCTTTATTCATCTCAAATAAGGTGACAGTGCAAGATAAGCTATTTCTTTTGTTGTTGGAAAATAATGATTCGAATGAAAAGCAAGTGGAAGTAATTGCATGAAATCATGGTGATTACATTAACGTGGTTTGTGGATGACAACGTTGAGTGTTTGACCCCAGGAGCTTGGGAGACCCCACCTGCCTTGAAATTGGTGTTTCACAAAACGCTGTCAAAAAGGTCCACATAACTGCTTGTGCTTTGCATGTTCGCCTCACCTTATTTCCAATTATTAATTTAATTATCATCATATTTACTGCAAAATTTTACAGAATTATATTCATAACATAGTCTAGGATACACAATTTTTAAATGTAATATTTCTCAATTTTCTATATCATTTTTATAATGGTCAACGTATAAATAATTACTAGTGATTAGTGGTAATTATATCAACGTGATATACAAAATGTAGGGTATGATTATCATTTGTCACCATAAACTAACGTTGCTTCAAATGTTGGTATGGTTGTCCATCCTCATCGAAGATTAAGAAGTATATATTTGAAGATTACTGTTGGATGCATATCAAGGAGCCTGGATTGGTCAACACGTCAATTATGTTTTACATAAATGCCATTGGATCTTTGAGTGTTTTCTTTGTTTAAAAATACTTGATACTAATTTGAATTCTTGTTTCTCTTATATATTTATGTTCATCTTTATCTATTATTAATTCATCGATGTCAGACTTATTTTGCCAACATTTTTCTTTATTCTCATAAAATTAGTCTGATTTTAATTTCCCATGCACGTGTACAAGTGATAACGCAGATACACATATTGAAGTGGTATTTGTTTTCATGAAAAAGAATGTATGATTGATCTTTTAACTAATAGCTAGCTAGACACGATGACAAGGATATTTTGCAACTTAAATTAGTGACTTGTTCTATAACATTTCCTTAAAACAATTATTTTATTGCATTTTTTTTATATTAAGAGTTATTTTATAACGTAAGTATTTGTGGAAGTGATGAGAAAATTTACTAAAATAGTTTTTTTTTTTACACCAATTACTAATAAAATAGGTTGGTAATATGTTTATAAATTATCTTTAACTTACTTTAATGAATTATATGAGATATGGTGTCAAAAAATATTCTATGAGATACTTCATATAAAATTAAATAACTATAATTGATCTCTATATTCACTTACATTAAATATTTGGAATGAGAATTTTGTTATTTATATATTTTTTTGTACATGTGGTTATATACTAATGCCTCTTGAAGCTCGAAAAAGGTCTTAGCCATGCTCATAAAAATCAAACACCGTCTTAATTCCCTTTCTTGTGTGCATGAAGAAAACGCTTTGGATCTTAAATTCTTTATATATGAAAACAGTCTACATTCAATCATCGATTGTTTTATAGCATCTACACGTCACAACAGTTATAAATCGAGTCACCTAATTGTCAAAATCATGACACACCCATTTTGGGTCATGGAAGAAAATAGTTATCCGTTTTGAAATTTAGTAAATGTGGTAGGCCCGCATTTCTACTACGGCAAAGACTAAAGAGGGTAGCATACTGTCCAATATTATAATAAAGAAGCTCGTAGATATATATAAAGGTATTCCTTTTTTTTTTCCCTTACTTTACATGATATAGACGAAAAGAATATATGAATCATGAATGGAATATGCAGCAGATATTTTCCTCAAACATCTTCCGAACCCGCATAAATTAAGGGATCAATTAAAAATTCTCTTAACGAATTAAACATGTTCAGACGTTGAATAAAAACTATTTTATGCTTCAAAACTGAAGGTATTGTGGGTTAGTCTTACAAAGCAACTGTATGATTATAGTCTAGTTCCTACTTCCTAGATTCGTATATTATTATTATAGTTACAACTTACAATTTTCTTTTGTGGTACCTACCTTATGACCTTTTTCTTTAATGTTGGGGCCACGATGTCCATGAAAAGAAAAGGTTGAATATGATCAAACGTTTGTCGTAGGACAGTGGCTAACTCCACAAAACTGATTTCGTTGATACCATTTCCAATACAAAATTCATCCCTAACATTTGGCAGATAGAAATAGATAAAGAATATATGGTCGAACTTTGGGTCATTTAATTTGAGAGATTTCATTTGGATGGAAAGAGTAGTACAGTGTAAATTCCTATATATTATGTTCTAATGTAACAAATGAACGTGATTTTGTCTATTTATTAATTGATTATACTGTATATGTAATCGATTAAATACGAAGACAAGTAAAGATTATAATTTAATTTGTAAAAAATAATAATTAATTGATTGCATAGCAATGCAATAACCATGTATTGTTGGAGAGTGACTTTAATTGATTACAATATTTATTTAACCAATTAAAACTGTAAGTCAGTGGAGTCATTCGATTGAGTAGAAGTGGAATCGGTTCTGGTTAATTTTTAATGGTGTCACTTCAAATTGTGCATCAGGTTTTTAATCGACTTTTGTTGCATGTTTAATCGATCAAGTGTAAGCTCCAAGAGAAAATAAACGATTTTAATTGATTACAAATATCATATAATGGATTATATAAGAAGCACAGCAAGACAATGAGGATGTGTTACCAAGAAAATATGGATCAACTGCATGGAGAAGAGATCAAGAATTCGATGGCTTAAAAAATTAATTAAGATTTAAGAAGAAGAGCAAAAGCCGGAAAGAGAACAAAATCAGGGTTTTGAAGTATATTTTGGGAACTTACATATTTTCGGTTCACCTGATTTCATTGCACTTTTCACACACTTTTGCCATGAAATTATTTTATGTGGGATCCACTTATTTCTTTTACCAACCAAACAACAACACATTATAAATTCTACATTGTCTTTTAAGAGTTGAGAATTTCAGTAAATTTTCACTTTAATGGTACAAACTTTAAAATTTAAAATGAGTCTAGCAATATATATACAGAGAGAGGATAAGAGAGATATTCTTACATTAAAGGTACATTTAATACGTAGAATATTTTTATTTTTCTGAAAATTTTAAATAAAAAATCTTAATTTTTTATATTTGATAATTATTTTAAAAAAACTTTTAATATAATTTTTTAAAAATCATTTTTATCTTACTTTTCCATAAAAATATTTTTGTGAGGAATGAGAATTCAACATTCGTAAATTAGAAAAAAAAGTTTTATACATATGAAAAAATCACAATATCCATCTTTTAAACAAAAAATCTCTCTCTCCCTCTCTCTCTCTTCTCCCTTCTATTTCTCTTTCTCTCTCTTTCTCTTTGTCTCTCTCACTCTCAATCTTACACTCCCTATCTTCTTCTTCCTCTTTCTCTCTCTCTATTTCTCTATCTCCCCCCCCCCTTTCTCTCCATCCCTGTAACTCACCTTTTCTTCCTCTTTTTTTTTTTTCTCTCTCTCCCCCCTTTTTTTCCTTCTCATATCTCTATTTTGTTTTTCTCTTTTTTGTATTTTATTATTTCTTAACCATGTCAATTTTAATAATATTATCAAAGTCTATTTTATTTTTATAATTTAATGATATTTGTTAACACTTATTTATTTGAATGAAATAAAATAATATATTTTTATCTTTCTTAATTATTATATAACATTTTTCTTTCTTTATTTTTTTTCCAACTTTTTAAAATAGTTTAATGTCATATTTGTAATAAGATTTGAGTAAATAAATATATCTAATGAATTTATTTTAATAAGGTATATTTTTGTAAAAAGTATTTAGATACCTAAGAATATACTATTGTAACTGAACATGAAAATATTTAATTTTTTTTTAAATCATGTAAGAATACTTCCAAGATTTGTAACCAAACATAGTTTAACTATTTCCAAGAATCATGATTCTCAAAATTTGTAATTTTCATGAATCATGATTTCTAGGTATAAAAAAAAATTCCCTATCAAACGCTCTCTAAGAGAGTCTTGGTTTATAGTTTAGGATCTTACTTCACTTAATAACTCATATTTTACATCAAATTTCAATAATGAATTTAATACATAGTTCAAGATTACAAATTTATAAAAATTTAAAGGTCATATGATACTTAAATATGTAAATTCAAATAAACATATAAATATTATAATTATCCGTCGATTTAAATTAATAAAATAAAATATAATTTATATATTAATATTTTTAATTTAATAATTGAATTATTGAAATTTAAAGTATAACATGAATTATTGAATAGAGTAATTCTATCAAACTTTATCTTAAAGTAAATCTCACTTTATTTATATATATATATATATATATATACACTTTGTTTTTAGGTAGGTTTTTGCGAGTTGAATAAGTTTTTAATGCCAGGATCCTATTCTTACATATAAAAAAAAATCATTATAAAAAGTGTTTGCTTATTGGAAAAGCATGACTTTTTAATTAGTTACCATGTTTTGGCTATAGAAAAAAAAAAGTGATTAATTGCTTCTTTAAAAACGTAATACAAACACACATGTAATTGTTGATGCTAAATTAGAAACTTACCAAATTACGTTAGTAGATAACCTGTAAGAATGTGTTCCTAAAATTTTTGTGAATTGACTTCCAATATACAAAAGTATTACTATTTGAACTCAACTTTAAATGAAGGATTTGATTACACTTACTAAAACTAGACAAAACTAAGTCGCGACAACTTAGAATTTTGAAATATATGTTAATCAAAACAAGTGGCGGTACTAAAGTGAGAAAATTAGCCACTAAATTGATTATTGACCGAATTAGAGATCTATTTCAACATTCTCTAAATTGTTGATCGCTAACTCCCATGTTTATTTTAGGGACTAATTTAGAATTTGATTTAGGGTCTTTTTTTAATACATAGTAGAAGTTTGAGAATTTTTCTATTAAGAAAAGTTTTTTTTTAATAAAACTCTAAAAAAAAAACTTTTGAATTTATATTCAAATAAGTTTTTAGTAATCAACTATTTGTTTGGTGTTTAAGATAATTTGGTCTCTATTTAATTTGTGATATAGAGCAAAAGAGAGATATACATACTTGGAGGGATCAAATTATAACAATATAAATTACACCAATCATTATATCATCATTAACTTTATTTAGGATATAAATTTTAACGACAAAAAATGCATTGAGATGACAAAGTGGGTTATGTTAATCAAGCCAACTCATTTAACTCACTATATATAGTGAGTTTAGTGTAAATAAGTAGTTTCATCAACCCAAATAACCTACCATGTTTTATTCCATTTAGAAATGAGTTAATGATGAACTATAACAAGTTAAGCTTTCAAGATGATAAATGATTTTTAGTTTATTAGTTATTATATTTTTATTTGTAAATATATTATGTCATGTGTGTGTCACTCGCTTTAATCTTCTTTCATTTTTTTCATTGTTACAATTACAACTCTATTCTTCTTCTTTATCATTACTTTTCTTATACATAAAAAATACAATGACATTAATAAAATTTAAATTTAAGACTTTATTTATACTACTTTTATTCTACACTACTAAGTCAATCATATTAGTTTTTTTTCACTATTGCTTTGTAGATACTCTTCTTGTCATTTTGTATCGTATTTAAAATTTTTACATGTGTATGAAAAATGTAGATAATATCTTATATTTCATAAAAGTTATGTAATTTTCTGATATATACATTTTGGTCTTTCTTAATATACTTTATTTTTAATGTACTTTCTCACTCCATAATAAATAGTTAAATATATATTTCATCTGTTTTCCAATGAATATATTTTAAGGATTTTACACATAAATTAAGAATAACAATAAATATATTATTTTTTTATACACTTATACTAAAATAATTACACTCTTTCAATAAATGCATTACTCACAATAATTAATGAATTGGAAAATTAAAAAAAAGTAATTAATATTATATTGAAGAGTGAGAATATCAATTATTTCGATACAATTTTCAAATGGTAAAGTTGCGATCAATTTAAGATGAAGGGAGTACTAATAGAAAAAAAAAACCATATATACAATCATAGTACCTTCGATACTATTAGTGATTCTCCAATCAAAATTGGAGTTTCACCTTGAAATTTATTTTTAATGTAGATTTCATGTAATATAATATATGTAGATTATCAAGGTACCACCTTTGTTTCTATATATAAAACTCAGATACCTAATTCATCAATATTAAAAAGTTAGTTTATCTAGTTGATATATAACAATAAATTTGTCATGTTTTTATTTATTTATTTTCAAAATTATCCTTATACTACTTTTCTCTCTTAATTAATATGCACCTTCCTACTCACAATCAATTACTCCCTCCATTTTTTTCATTGTCTTTAAGGTTATGCACAAGAATTAAGACAATGATTGATATATTAGTTTTTTAAAGTATTTATTATATATTTTTCTGTTATATCCTTTGGGTGGTTGGAAAAGAAATAGGTATATTAGAAAATGAATAAACACATTGTTCAGTAAACAAACATTAATTATCAAGGGTAAAAATGAAAAAAAATTAATAAGTCATTGAGTTTAGAAAAGTGACAATGAAAAAAATAAAAAAAATATAACAAAAGGACTATAAAAAAAATGGAGGGAGTAAAATACGTATCCTATACTACTTCTATCATAATTAATGTTGTTTACTTTACAAATACATGTCTTTTAAGAAGCTTATAATTAATACATAATATTAAATTAAGAAAAAAATATTTTAATTAAGGATATTTTAGTTTAAAAATGATTAATACATCAAATATTATGAATTAAGTCTTATATGAAGAAACAAATAATTATTTTAAGATTGAATTGGATCTTATAAATAAGAATAAAAATAATAAAATTTTAATTATAATAAAAAAAATAACTCTTACAATATTTATGACATTATACTTTTGTTTTTTTAAAAAATATTTAAATGTATATCACTCCAACTCAACCATTAAAAATTTAGGATGATTATAGTTGTTGAAGAAAAAAACATGATGATAGTAAAACGTTAATGGATTATTTGGAAAGTAAGACAAACATTATCTGTTGTCTTCATTCAAAATTAGCGCCTTGTTACATGGATGCTCGAGCTTTTTAAGTTTAAGCATGCGAAAATGTCGTAACTAGTGCTGATACGTAGGTGTAGTATAGGTCAAAAAGTCAAAAGCCTAGTTCATCAACTGCAAGAACATTTTACATTTTCTAGCCAATCCCTTTATCTTGTGTTATTTCTTGGATGCATTCATGAACTCACGTTACTGGGTTAGGCTTTACATGTATGCAATTAAATAATGAATAAAACTGCCATATTGCAATTATAAACCTTGACTTTTCCCCCTCATTTGAACGTAGAATGTGTGTTAAAACGAGTGTGGTAGTAGAAATAAGAGAGATTGAAGTTCACTTTTTGTTTTGGCCATGAGGAATGATAGGGTCTGCGTAACCTTATTTGGAACAGTGAGAGTGTGTGTGTCTGCCTGTCCCGCAAACAAATTGAGAGACCATTTCCTCGAGAGCAGGGCGATTCCTTGACAATGCGCCACCCTTTCCTTTCTCCTTCTTTCTCTCTCTCTCTCTCTCTCTCTCTCAACCCTCACCCTTCCCTTTTTCTCCTTTTCCACAAATAAATTAATCAAAAGAACTTCTCTACAATCATTATTTTTAGCAGCACCGAACATCGTAAATACCACTCCCACACTCACTAAAACTAACACTCGTAGCTTTATTAGGACTCACAACAACGTATATTATACTATACTAACAATATGATTAATCCTACAAAAACAAAAAGATTATCCCCTGCTTCTGTTCACACTGAACCTCCTTCCTTCCTTATCATTCTAATCGCTCACTTCACTTTCTCCGCTTATTAATTGACCTAACCCAACACTGGCTAACACTTTTCGACAACTTGCCATGCCACAGTGAAGTGACTGAAACATCAACAATGCTCCAAACAACCTGCATTTTGCTGCTCTCAGTCCTCACCTCCTTTTCACCTCTTGCAACTGCAATGCTCAACCTAACTCTTCCCGGAGCACACCCAGACCCAGAAGCTGTTGCCCACGAAGTTCATAGGTATACATACACACACACACACACACTATATACTACATAGTCCCTTCATTATCATAACTTTTTTTTAGTATAGTCATGTAAGATTATTATGTACTCTCCACAAATATTTAAGTATTTAAAGTTGTAACAAAACTTAAACTTGAGACTACCGGTTAAATTATAACAATTTTGTGTCTGTCAGTTGATCTACGTGTTCATAGTTGATCTTAATGTAGTTCAGTTTCCTACATTGCATAACTTTAGAGTAGATCTGGACAAAAGGGTTGAGTTCTATTACGAGTAGTATCTTGTTTTGAGTGGTATTTTATTCTTGTGTAGGAAGGTTAATGCTTCGATTGCAAGAAGGGAAATGCTGGCAGTGTCAGAGAAAGACGAGTCATCGTGTTTAACGGGTAACCCCATCGATGATTGTTGGAAATGTGACCCAGATTGGCCCAATAACCGGCAGAGATTAGCAGACTGCGCCATTGGGTTTGGTCAGTATGCCAAGGGAGGGAAAGGTGGTGAGTTTTATGTTGTCACTGACTCCTCTGATGATGACCCTGTTAACCCAAGACCTGGCACGCTTAGATACGCAGTCATACAGAACGAGCCACTGTGGATCGTGTTCCCTAGTAACATGATGATTAAGCTCTCTCAAGAGCTTATTTTTAACAGCTATAAGACCATCGATGGACGCGGCGCTGATGTGCACATTGTCGGAGGAGGCTGCATTACTTTGCAGTATATAAGCAATGTTATCATACACAATATTCATATCCATCATTGTCATCCCTCAGGTCTGTTCTTTTCCTTAACATAATTTACCCCCATTGTGAATTCAATAAGAATAATTACACACAAATTAGAAGGTAGCCACTGCTTTTTTGTTGAGAAAGATGAATTAGTTTTTTTTTTCCTACTGTGGGGACATTGGTGGTCTATCCAATCCCCTTCTCACGGACCTAGTCCTTGAGGCTTGAAAATAAAAAAATAAAATAGAATAAAACTGTGCTTGGTTTGCGGAGAGATTTATATAGAAAAAATATATTTGGACACCTTATATATTATATATATGTATGACAGATATAATATGATAAACAGAGAAAATAAGAGAAAAATTAGTAAGTTGATATAGTGCATAATAAAATGGAATGTCTCTTATATATAAAGTTGAAAGTATTTCAAGATTAGTATATTTTATATTTAAACTAACTTTAAAAAAAGTAATTGTTTTAAACACTCACTCAAAACTTTCTTTCTTTATATCATGAGGTGAGAGACTAATTTGCCCTCAACATTGTTAGGTAGGGACTGAAAATAAGGATGACATCACTATTGGACGGGACAAGTTATTATAACATTCTTTTTCATAACCATATTTGAAAGAAAAAAAATTCAGTTCTAAATTTACATTCATGTGAGCAACAACATGAATGTTCTTGAATATCAGGGGTACTTGAATTCTTATATGTAAACCTATTTCCTACACTTATTTTTGTCATCCTAATTATAAAGATAGAATAGTAAGACACTAGCAATGCTCCTGAACGAAGAGTTAAGGATGTATTTGAATGGTTTGCAGGGAACACCAACGTTCGATCAAGTCCAGAGCACTACGGTTTTCGGACAGAATCAGACGGTGACGGGATTTCCATATTCGGGTCAAAGGACATATGGATTGACCACTGCACGCTATCACGGTGCAAGGATGGGCTCATAGACGCGGTGATGGGTTCCACCGGAATAACCATCTCCAACAACTTCCTCTCCCACCACAATGAGGTCATGCTCCTTGGCCACAGCGACGACTACCTCCCGGACTCAGGAATGCAGGTCACCATCGCCTTCAACCACTTCGGGGAGAAGCTCGTCCAGCGAATGCCGCGGTGCCGGAGGGGCTACATCCATGTGGTCAACAACGACTTCACTCAGTGGGAGATGTATGCCATTGGGGGCAGTGGTGAGCCCACCATTAACAGCCAGGGCAACCGCTACTACGCACCACAGAACCCCTTTGCCAAGGAGGTTACTAAGAGAGTTGACACACAACAGTCCAAGTGGAAGGGATGGAACTGGAGGTCTGAGGGTGATATTCTGCTCAATGGAGCTTTCTTTGTTGCTTCTGGGGAAGGACTTGAGGTTAAGTATGAGAAGGCATACAGCGTTGAGCCTAAGTCTGCTGATCGCATTACTTTTCTCACCATGTCCGCAGGTGTTCTTGGCAATGCTAGGTATGTTTTACTATATGAATGTTTGGATAAATTTCTCCAGAAACATTTATAAGAGAATAAAAAATAAACTTTGCTTATTTGGATGGATGAATGAACAGGGATAACAACCTTGGAATGTGGAGCAGAGGACCTGGGGATGATGCTCCCGATTCCAGCTTTGAATACACCGATGACATGTCCTTCACTGCAACGATGCTTCTGCCATCTTTTCTTCTCTTGTTCTCTTGCACAATACTGTTGACGGTTATTCTATGACAAAACTAACCATTTACTGATCTTGCGTCCGCAATGTAACGAGACGCTTTTGTTTCATTTCTCTTCATTGGAATGAAAATTGCCTGTCCTCAAGTCTATCAATGGATCAGGCAATCATTTAAGACAGTATATATTCTTTCTTCTTCATTTACCCTCTTTTCTTGATCTTGCCTTTTTGACTTCCTTAGCAGCCAAATTGCTGTTTTGCTCAAAATTCCATCACCTACGGAAGCTAGTTTACAACAAACTGTCACAAGCAAATTTGCAAGCACGTCTCAAATTTGAACTGCAAAACGCAGTATACGATGCAAGTAGACTATGTTATGTTTTTCTAAGTAAAGCAATGCATGGGGCTAAAAAGAAGAAATTTGATTCCCAGAAATAGTTTCCAATTGGAATTAAAGGGGGATGGGGGAGGAATGAGTACCGAACAAAACTATCTCACATTACAATTCTCTCTTACGTACAAAATGAGCCAAATGTTACAGTCACTCTGCATGTCTATGCTTTCATCCCTTAAAAAATTTCAAATAGTGGCTACTTCGTCTCTACACAGTCCATATTATCAACGCTCTATGAATGATTTGTTCATTAGTTCGACGGCGTCATCCATGAACTGCATCCACAAAAACAACTACATCAATCATAACAGCTCATCGCATATTTACAATTGAGTCTCACCTCAACATATCAACTTTAATATCAAAGAATAAACAGGAGAATTATAAATCTGTGATACAAACACGGGCAAGACAAATAAATCCAAACATAAACAACTTCAATGTTTAATATTAGAGTTATTTTACGTAATTTCAGTTTAACTAGCTCACGGGAAGTGGAAAGAATGCACCTAAACAGAATCTATGAATTTCTGGAGAAAAAAAAAAGACACTGTAGCCAAATTTCCAGGAAATAGTACCCACGTAGTCCGCATATATGCAAATTCTGCATTGAAGGTATACTGCATAAGAAAGCAATGTCACTCCATCTATTCCATCCCATCTCCCTCTAGTTGTTATCACATGGTGCAATACAAATCAATTATAGTTTAAATTTTAAGAAGTATAAGGGCACATACATTTGGCTAGTATTAGCAACATTGTTTTGTTCCTGATTCTTTCAGCAAATTGAAGCATAAAAGTATTGAATTTGAATTTGCTATTTGGATGCAGTAATCGGTTGACAAATATGCAAGTAAATCTATATGAAATAATCTACATTTCAGGAAGTGCCAGTTTTTTCCTTGCATGCATGAAAAACTTAGAATAATAATAAATAAATAAAAAGGCATTTACCTTTCCAAGCAACTTAAGTTCTCGCCCAACGGGTTCCAAAAACTTCAGGTCAACATGGATTGGCCACACCTGTCCAGACAAGAAAGCAAAAAATTACACAAAATCCCTTCTATTTCTTAAACTGTTAAACACTAAACAAAATCCTCTTTGGAGACACTACTAAAGACAGGCAATCAGGTTTTCCAACAAATATTGATCATTAGCAAAATCAATGAATATTTCGCACCAATAATATGGTTACCCAATAAATACAAAATCCTTTCTATTTTATATACATTACAACTCAATACCTCTTCAATATCAAAATTTCGAAATTATTAATATTTAAATGATAAAAATTTTAAGATAACATTAAAATAATAGGAGAAAATAAATAACAAAAAATATTATTAATAACAAAATTATCAGTAACAATTATCTAAGAGAGCAAAAGTTTGGTAAATACCCACAAGGCTTAATGGCATGAATGTGAGGGCACATGCCAAGGCCAACTAAAATGAAATGGTTAAATTCAATCCAAGCTAACAAAGACAAGTACGATTATATTCTGAATAAAAAAACTGCAGGAAATAAATTTTGGCATCTGCACAAACAGACAGATTAATAATACTGACTAGATTAATACTCCATAACACATTTTGTTTTTCACTGATGTTTATGAAAATTGGTTTTGAAAGAAATGGAAGAGAAGCACTCTGGTTTCACTTCCGAGACAGATTTGAAACAGGAGTATACTTTCCTTTGTGATACTAATTAATGGCATCCTTTGATAAGACAAGTCAAAATAAAATGTAGCAGGAATTATGGTGTTTATAGAGATGAGTTTTTGTGTGATGGTATTTTTTCAATCATAAAGGTAATTAATTATCAATGTCGTAACAAATTTGAAAATATGAAAAGAAAAGCTAAGATTGATAACATAGAAGAATATGCCACATGTGGAGCAAGCACCATAAAGCGATTGAAAGGACAAATGGGAAAACAAAATTTGTACAGCATATTCCGAATATCCGAGCATATGCATCAATGTTATAAATACTGTGGTGTAGCTCACAAGTTCAGCACCCTAAACAAAAGTCAAACTCGCTTATGAAATAGAAAACAACCAAACCAAATCAAAGAGTTATGAGTTCAAAAACTCAAAGAAGAGCATCAACTGAGCGGCTATTTAGATTGAAGAATAATTTCAATAGTCGAGATTTTGGGGCCAAATACTTGCTCGACTTGGACCCCAATGTTAATATATCAGCAGTAAAAACCAGTCAAAGATTTTGCTAGGCGACGAGCATGTATCCCTTAGTGACTGAGAGCCCTTCTCATAGGTTTGCAGAGACTAGTTAGTTTCAAATGCAAAGCTCGAACTTCCAATTTGCAATCAAGATATTTCCAGATACAAAATTCAATTACACGGGGGACCCTTTACAAATTAAAACCTAGTGTGAAAATTTGTTATTTCAATTTTTTTATGTCCTTTGTAAAAGGAGTGATGCTAAATCCCCCTAAACAATCAGCAATAAGGTTAAAATAACAGAAAGTGATAAGAACCCAAAAAGCACTTAACTAACATAATTTGAGTTGTAATAGAAAAATGGAAGAGCGAGAAGAAGAGGAGGAGGAGAACCTGAAGGCCAAGTAATTTGAGGGGCACCTTCTGGCCAGGTACGATGCAGTCAGGACCAGCCGCTTCCACTATGGCCTCATCGCCCAATCCATTTCCAATAGGGTCCGGATGCTGAGAAATGAAATCCCAAAATATGAATATAAAGTTAATGAAACACAAGAGAATGCAAAGATGAAAGGTAGAGAGAGAGAGAGAGACCCTCATAACGGAAACGGCGTAATCGGATAGGGGTGAGTGGGAAACGCGAAGAAGTGGAGAGTGGTGAATTTTGGGGAAAGGTTTCAAGGAAGAAGATGATGCTCTCCATGGAACATCCTTCTGAAACGAACCTCCTTTTTTCGACATTAGTATTAGTAATCTACTTCAACCTTAACTCTTCTCTTCCTCCTCTTCAAACATGCGATAAATGACGCTCTCAGAGACACAAATATTGGATTTTCTTAAAATCTCTTTTTAATTCTTTTTTTTTTGGCATAACCTAATAAACGCCATATCAGGTCATCAACCACGAATTGTTAGTTACGGTTCGATGAACAAAAAAATCCATTTTTTATTTATATAATTCTATCACCAATCTTTTTTTTTTTTTTTTTTTTCCTGAGATTGTCATTTTCTTAACATTTCGTGAGTAAGTTTAATGTTATATCATGCGAACTAACTCGTGTTTCGTAAAATCAATAATTCACAAAAATAAAATAACTTTATGTCAATTTAATCGGTTTTATTTTCACTTTAAACCTAATAATAAATGAGTTAATATGAATTAGTCATCTATACAATTAAATTTAAAAAATAAATTTAAAAATTAAATTGTATATTTAAAACAATACTAAAAATGAATAAGAAAAAACAATCCTAAATTTTTTTTTGCAAAAAATAACCCAACTATTATAATTCAGTTATCAAATTAAAAATTGTTGGTTGATTTTTATTTTGCATGAATCGTATCTTATTCTAATATAATGTTTAAAAAAAATACACAATACTAAGAATTAAATTGCTACATATTTATTTATTATTCTAAGGTGAGAATTCTCGAGATAATTCTAGATTCACGCCTCTTAACACATAAATCCAATACTTAATCATTGTCTAGATATAGAAAATACAGAACACTATAAATGTTAGTATATATAGCATTCCCGTATGTATAAGTCAAATCATCCACATCCATTGCCACTAGAATTTATTGAGATTTGCAGTAAAATTTAATAAATGTTTTATCGGAACTTTTTATTCTTAAAAATTGCGGTTTAAATAAATTAATACTTTTCAAAATAATATTAAAACTATTTGATATTTTAAACTTTTTTTTTAAATATTCTAAACTGTAAAACTAATAATTTTAAATATTCTTGTAAGTTGAAGTTTCTTCGATTAACATTTTTCAATTATTTTATTATTATTATTTTTAAAAGTTTAATTAAATTATATATTCAACCCGATTACTCACCTTTAATAAAAAGTCAAGTAAAAATTATCTAATATAGGAGTTATTTGTATGGTTGTTAGGAGCAAGAGTCAGTTCTTCCCTGTGTCAATGTGCGCATCATTGGAGTAGGTTCTCTGAGAACACCATTGCAATATACTGACCTGACAATCATATATAAAAATCATGTTCTTTGTAGCACAAAGCATGAGCTAAAAAGGGAGAAAATACCAAACTGAAACAGAAAAATCAACTATAATGAGAAATAAACAGGGCGACCAACAGGAAAATACCAAATCGAATAATGAAACAAGTTTTACTGTTTCCTATACTAAAATAGTACTCAATTTATCAGATTTTCCAGATTGTGCACCGTTACAATGTTTCTTTGCACCATTTGTGAAATGCTAGAAATTGTGCCTCTAATAACCAGATTATATGTAAGTCACCAGCCCTTTTACATCATACGTACATAACTGTCTAAGAAACAAGGATATTCAATACAACCTCATACAAGGGCGACGTGACGTCCCAAAACTTAGTACCAAACCAAACCTGCCCTAGTTTTACTATAAAATGCTCCCAACCAGGTGCAAATCAAGCACAAAATAGAGGCACTACTTCTCTTGTACCATCAACAAAAAGGGCACTAGAGTTTGTTTCCAGAAGGGAAAAAAGAATCCGTATTTCTCTCTGTAAAAAAAATACAAGAAAGTATTTCATTAAACATTCTTAATCTGCAGACATTGCTAACAATGTCCAACTGATTATCCAACTGCACTTTTAAGTTACATTAATCACTGCTTTCTTCAACTTGCTGATTATCCAACTGAGAAAATAGAGAGGAAAAAGAAATTAAGTGGGAAAGAAAGAAACCAATAAATAATGGCACCAAAATGGCGTGGAGCACATATAATCCACCTATCCAATCCACACTCCCAATAGTAATTTGACTAAGCTGTGACCATATCTGCCCCATTCTGCGCAGCCGCATCTGCCAACCTCTTCCAATTCAATTCCCGCTGCTCTTCTAATTCTTTTGCTTTAGCCTCCCTCTCTGCATATTGTCTCTGACACTCTTCAAACAATTCTGCATCCATTTCTTGGAACATTTTCCGAACGTTCACAGTCAGTCCGTGAACAGCCCGATTCCAATGAGACTGGATATTTTTCTCCAATGCTTCAAATATTATGGGTAATACTACAGTCCTGTTTTGTGCAATTAAGCTGACAATGTGCTCATTATTCCATAAAAATAAAGCTCGTTCTGCAACCTGCATTGCAAGGTGTGCCTAAGCATACACTTTTAAAAGATGATCTAAAACTAATTACATCAACAGAAAAGACAATTCCAAGCGATCAGGATTCTCACTCCCGTATTTTGTTTATGGCTTGAAAGATAAGATTTGTAAAGATAATCAATCAGTTCAAAAAATTAAATAAATAAAAAATGAACCTGTAGACTATTTTAATGAAAGAATTATACAAATATCACCTTAAGTATCCTTTTAAGGTGAGAAACCTACATCCTAGCAAATGTACACTATTTTAATTTCCTCAAGCATTAAATTTTTGTGATCAAGACCCTAAAACCTTCAAGTTTCTCTCTTCTGATGAGCTTTAAGCTCAAATTATCATCAATGACCAAGACAACATTTGGAAATTGGAATCTTGACCTCAAACATCAAGTGCTTGAAATATTAAAATAGGAGAACCATGTCACTCCCTCCATGTCTTGATTTTTACAAAGTAAATAATAATAAACACCCCATGATTTTCTGCTAGCTTTCTGTGTAACTTTGATTATTGCCAAGCTGCAGTACCAATATGACATGAAAGGCATATCCATAGAAATGCTATTCAATCAAATTCTCTCTCCCTGAGCATTCTGCAGGCATTTAGAAGTCTAAAAAAGTGTATCAATTCACTTAATTGAAAATAATTTTTCCACTGGACATGTGAAACAAAAATATTTCAAGTCTGCGCAAGATTTGGACTCGAGAAATCAAAATACACTAATGGTTTGAGTTAAGACACGTAAAAGAGACTTGTGAGCTTTAATTGGTATATGCTCTTTCTTCTCTTTTTCTTAGGATTTACGTGTTCAGAGCTTATTTGATTAGTTTTCTTGTTTTATTATCACATGATATAATTTAATTATAATTACAAAAATGTTACATTGTTTTCAACAAATTAAGGAAATGGTGAAAATTGAAAATAACACACAAAAAGGCTTGTTTGGTTTTTTAAAAATCTGTTCTGTTTTTTTTTTGTTTTTACTTTTAATTACAAAAAATGACACCTTGTTTGCACTTGTTTCTTTATTTTCAAAGGTTTGTATAGGAAATGGTAAAAACAATAAAAAAAATTGTTTTCACTGTTTTCTACACAACCTTTAAAAATGAAAATAAAATGAAAGCAAACTGATATTTTTTAAATAAGAAATAAAATAAAATAAAAAATTCTCTCAAAGTAAACAACCCCTTAGGTTTTTCTTTCGTTTATTTCTTTAATATATTTCTAATTTTACCAAATAAGAACAAGTTAATGTCTAAAGAACCAATGTTCCTCACATGGTGCAAACTTAAATTGAAGTATTGAACACACCTTAATACCATTCACATTAATAAAAATTATAGTAAACTTTTAGAACCTAGAAAGTTTTCCAAGACAAAATTCTACATCAATAACTTTTCAACTGCAGACAGGTCACAGGATGCAATGCACTAAAAGTATGATATGCACATAAAAACAAATGCTGATACTGCTGCTTAATGATCTCAATGAGAAAGAGAAGTGCACAAAATTTTAAGCCAAGAGGTTAACTCAATATATAATGTAAGAATTTTGAACAGACACCTATTAAAGTTTTTACTCAAAGCATGATAATACACTAACATTGTGGCTAAAATGCAAAGAACCAGCCTCAACTCATCTCCAGCATATAAGGGGTTATAATTCACTAAAAGGAAGGAAAGAAAGTCAATTGAGCAAGAGTTTACTGGAGCTTTGACTAAATAAGTGTACCCTTGGGTAAATTTCTCTCAATTTTATGAGTTTTGAGGTCTGAATAATCGCATTTCATGTTATGCTTTGACACTCTGACAATTTTGGTAATTAACAAAATTTGAGGATATTTGCCAAATGCCAAGAGTTTTAAGTGGGCTGCAGAGGGTCAAAGTTAAAGCAAATGTTATTTGCATTTACACCAAAAACAATATTGCCAACCAAGTATTTATAAGAAACCAAGAGACAATAGTTTAAAAATTCAATATAATGTTAGTAGGATGAAAACACATGGTTGGAAAAGTTAACAAATTTACAAACAGCGGTACCTTTTCGAAAACAAGGTAAATGAAGAGAAAAATGAGTTTAAAGGGTAATTTGTGCTTTTTACACCCACATTTATTGGCTTGATTATCACGACCTCCTGAGTTAAGAAATTATGTATTTTACCTTGGTTTAACAACATAAATTACAATGGGCTACTAACAATTCAAATCATATATTGAATTTGATAGTTTGGCAGTTACATACAAATTATATGATTCATGGGCTTAAAATAAATTATCTGATAAGTCAGTTCACGTCACATTTTCTTTTTTGGGTATGTTTGGAAAAACTGTGAAAATTAAATTATTTCAATAATCAATTATTGCTATAATCGATTATAATCAAAATAAAATTTGGTCTGGGTAAGTTAACCAAAAAGTGATTTTAAGATGTATAATTTCATTTGAATTCAACAAAAAAATCAGTTTTTATGTAGTTAATCAGCTTAAAATGAAAAAAGCTGATGAAAAATAATTATATAAGTTTCAAATTTTCAGGTTCATGAAAACAACTTATTTTTCAACAAAAAAAGTTGTTTACAAATTTTAGTTGTCCCAATCACAGTTTTTTTTTTTTTTTGCAACCAGCTTTTATCCCAAAAAACAGCCGAATTTGAAGATTTTAATCTCTCCCAAACCCAAACATCCTTTACGCGTCCAAATTTTTCCATCAAGCATTCTGATTCAAGTGCTAGAATTCTATTTGCTTCCCAAACTTGGAAGTGAAGGCATTCACATATTGAACAATTAGCAGATGGGTTTAAAGTTTCAGCAAAATCCATCATTAAATATCTGCTATAATTCTTTTGCTTAAAAGTTAAGTAAATCAGGTGCTACATTTCCTTCTCTAGTGCAGACCTTTAGTAGCATGACAAATATTCACATATATTAGCCTCGTTATATATCAAGCTTTCTAAAATTGAAAAGTAAATATAGGAATTTTATGTGTGTGCTTGTGGGGACTTGATGAAGATGTTAGGTGATGCCAGGCAGCTTACACATACAGATTATTATCTATTGAAATATTCCCCATTTCCCTTCGCTTGAGGAAGAAATAGTGGTTATAAATGATGACACACTACGAAAGCTTTTCCCAAAAAACAATTTTAATAAAGAATTTTGGGTAAAATGATTTTGGTCCCTCAGAATTACAGTCTCAATAAAATTTTAATGTTTTCAGTCCCTACATTTACCAAAAGTGACGTGGATTTAGTCTCTCATCATAGACTTAAAAACATGGGTTTATATGTTAAAATGCAGTGACTAAAAATGTATTAAATATTTTTAGACTTAAACCGAGTTTTGAGGGACCAAAAATACATTTTTCCCAAGAGCCTTTTTCCCCCCATCCCATTCACCATATGACCTGCATGCAACTCTCATTTGATCAAAGTTAACACCAGTTTGGATACGAGTTGGCCCACAATTTTAGGGAAATGTATTCAATTTTGTACATCACAAAGAACATTGCACAGGACCCAATAAATTAGAAGAGCAAATGCAATTCTTAAAACATCATAATATGAACCTCACCAAAATAAAAATAATAGCAACAACAACAAAAATCTATAACTCAAGATTTCTTAAATAATGTACAAGTCAAATCACAAACTTCACTATCACAGTTCTTAAACAAAATTTACCGCAATCACAGTATAAGCCATTAACCACAAATTTTTTTCCTAAACTGTGGTTTTTAAGCACCGCTAACTCTCCCAAATTGTCTCAATTTGTCACTGTCAATTATGTTACCGGCAATCTAAGGGACTAAAATAAGACTTTTAAATTATAAAGATTAAAAAAATCAATTATAAATTTGAGGGACCAAAAGCAAATTCATCCTAAATTTGAGGGACTAAAACATATTTAAGCCAATAGTTAAATAGTGGTTATCAGTTGAACTTCCTTTGCCAGTTCAACACTAAGATTTCAAGCAAAACAAAAATGAATTTAGAACCTCAGTATGCAAGAAAAGATATGCATGTTCTTGAATTTGGGTTGAGCCTACTTCTACCTCAAAAGCTAGTTCATTAGATGAAGATTGTCGAAACCTTTATAAGCCCTACTTTGGCCATATCTATATTTAAGGAGGGATCTCAATATGCCTCCCTCATATTCAAGATTGGACATCTGTGACATGGACATTATAGGATTGATACTTTTTATTGAACCAGGAAAGCCACAAGGCCAGTTAGGACTGATTTTTCATGTAGCAAAAGGAAAGCTATGGGGCTAGGCAGATTTTTGGACAGTTTTACCCGTTTAGAATTTCTAACATCCAAGACCATCTTGAATTTGAGTTGGATACTTGGGTCTAACTCAACCCCAAAAGCAAATTCATGACATGAGGATTGTCCAAGCCTTTTATAAGCTCTACTTTGGTCATATCTATAATTGATGTGAGATTTCAAACAATTTGAATACCTATTTTAGCATTTCTACATGTTAGGGTAGAAGCCAAGTAAGTCATATAGACTACGTAGATACAAAATGCTTTTGTTCATTTTTTCTTTTTTCATCAACCATTACATTAAAAAATGCAAATTGCAAAACTAAAACTGAACCATCCCCAAAAGTAACTAGGGGGAAAAATGGATTCAGTAATCACAGTATAGTTTAGGACCTAAAGGATGTGTCAGATTAGTATACTAACTAGTACATAGGTAGCTGAACATTATACTATTACTATCCTTATTATACAGGCCAGATTAGATGTATCTTTATAAAGAAACAGTTCAACAAGAAGCATTGCAAACTCACAACCCAATTACTCAAAGAAAAGAAAATGTTAAAAAAGTAGCTTGCATTAATTCTACAAAAATTGATTAAAAACAATTTTGCACTAACCTGAAAGTGAGAACTATTGAGGCAGCGGGCAACCTGTCTAAAAAGAGGGACCATGCAGCGTTGGAATTCCGCCGCCTGCGTGGCCTCCAGCACCTCCTCGAGTTCCCCAAGGAAGAGAACCTCCTTCTGGCAATTAGTCAAAGGCCAATACTTTATCAACCCCCTAATCACCGTATCCGCCAGCTTGAAATCCTTCTCCACAAACTGCGCAATGCAATACGACAACTGCTGGTGGTACACAGCCACGGGCTTGGGCTTATGCAGAGGCAGAAGCGCCCTGGCAAGAAACAACTTATGCTCCTCCTTCATCGGCAGAGCAAACCCATTAATAATGCTCCCCAGAATCTCCAGAAGCTCCCCAATACCACTATGCCTCTCAGTCTCATATATAAACCGAAAAAATATGTTGTTAATGGCCTTCCTAATGAAGGGGCGATGAACCATGAATTTCCCGTACACACGGTGCAATATGGTTTTCAGATATTCACGTTCACGAGGGTCCTCAGAGTCGAACAAATCAAGTAATTTGAGTACAAAGGAATGATCGATATACCGTTTCGCAACCTTTGTGTCAGTGTCGGAGGAAACGACGTATCTGAGGAGAAGCTCGTAGACAAGCTGCAAGTGCGGCCAAGCCGGCTCGAGGCACGGCTCCTCCTCCTCCGGATCGGTGGCTTCCTGGCCGGTGTTCTCGTGCGACGCCGGCGGGAGGCACCGGAAAATGTTCGCCGACACCATCTTGATCATCTCCTCCTGGCAAGTCTCCGTGATCTTGCCGGAGCCCGATTGGATGAAATCCACCAGCTCCATCAGCGTCTGCCGCTTGATTTCCTTCTCGCGCACGGATTTCAGCGTGTCCGAGAAGTCCAACACGTGGCAGCATATCTGGAGCTTCCGGATGAAGAGGCTCTGCCGCTCCGACACCGCCGCGTCGCGGAGCGGCGGCAGCGGCTCTATGGTCCCCGAGGGCGGCGGCACTGTGACGGGCGGGGCGGGGGCGGCGGGCGGCGTGGGGCCGAAGGCGGAGGCGTCCTCCGGCTTGGAGGGCTTCTTCTGGCCTCCCTTCATGATTCGCTTGAACATTTTATTTTTCTAGTTTGCGATATTCGGAAACCCTAACCCTAGGGAAGCGCGGTGTTGGTCTTCCTAATCCGCGGATGGCGAGGGTTGGACTTTCGCATCCCAACGAGCGATCTGAATGGCGGTGGCTGATTGGTCGGAGGGAGAGAGCGTGAGAGTGAGTGAGTGAGGGACAATCAATGACAATGATAATTAATTCAGGTTTGGAAAAAGTGAGGGATTATAGATTACGAACCTTAATCAATTTTATAAACAACCACTCTTTCCATATTCAGACCCATTTCTCCGTTTTTAATCATCTTATTAATTGCATTTTTAAATAATTCAACCCTCGCAAATTGCAATCTTTTTTTTTTTTACTTTATGCTGTCCCTCTCTCTAGTCTCTATGCTTCCTACAACCTACACTACATTTTTTTTATTTTTTTTCATTAAACACGTTCCTTTAAATAATGTCTTAGTCCAAAATATTTACATTAACCTAACCATAGAAAATAAACTCCTTAAAATTTCGGCTATTAATGAGACGGGAAGAATTAATAATAATAATAATGGGTTAAGAACAGTTGATAGTAGAATTACTATAATATCAATTAGCTGAAGAAAAAAAACACCACGTGTTGGTGTTGCCTGCATTATATTAAAAATAAATAAATTATATTTTAAGTTTTTTTTT